TGTGTATATATGTGTGTGTGTGTGTGTGTGTGTGTGTGTGTGTGTGTGTGTGTGTGTGTATACGTTTTCTTAGTGATAACTTACCAATAATATATGTTGTATCCCAAGATCTGGTTTCCAATCCTTTTTTAAAGTATTGACACATATTTCTCCACTTTTCGCTACGTTAGGATGAAAAATCTTTGTAAGGAAATAAGCCTTTGGCGGTCCTTGCGGAAAGTCTTTTCCAAGAACTAATTTTACTCTAAAGAAACCACCGGCATATGGAGTTCCCGCTATTAGAAAGAAACATTCAGATAGCAATATTACATTACTTTAATAATCAGAAATGATCAAGATCAAGACAATCATGAGTTTATATGATCAAGACAATCATGACATTGTAAGTATCGAGCTATCGACACCTCGGATGAATAGAGATGAGAAACATTAAGGTTAAGACAACACTCAGGTTAGGTTAGATAATATTAAATGTATGGTCGATAAAAAGATATTAGGAGTTGTCAATCTTTATCGACGAAGACAAAGAGCGAGAAAGGGCGATCTTACCTGGACCTTCGATGATGGCTTGTATGTCTGTGACATCCGCTTCGTTCAAAATGACACGAATACCTTCGGGTGCTTGCGCGACCAATTCCGCCATCTCTTTGGCCACTCGACGGATGATTTGCGGTGATAGATTTTCCACATTCTGCAAAAATATATGATCCAGAATCCACGATCAACATTTCAAACAACAGAATTGGAGCGCATGTTAAAACACACGTAAACAAAAAGGGCGTTGTGCTACATCGCATTGTCACGTCACGTCACGTCACATTATGTTACGTTACATTAGTTTCGTAACATAACAGCGCAATGTAATGTTGCGTTATATCGCGTAGATTGTGTGATAGTGTTGTATCGCGTTGCGTCGCGTCGCGTCGCGTCGCGTCGCGTCGCGTTGCGTTGTATCGCAGCAGCGGTGGCAGCGACAGTGGCAGTAGCGACAGCGACAGCGACAGCGGCGGTGGCGGTGGCGGCGGCAGCGGCGACGGCGGCGGGACGCCGCAACGAACAAATGTGGATTTTCGTCCGATGATAGCGGACTGGTAGCGGATACTCACGGAGCTTACGGCGGCAGCCATAATCGCCGGAAACTCGGGACGCGTGGTCTCGGCCAAGCCTCACGCGCGGCTACGCGGCTTTTCCAACTTTCCAACACACAGTGCAGGAAAACGCTTAACGTCACAACATCAGCACGGCATCACCCGCAATAACCAACATTTTGAACTGACAGCCAATCACGTGCCAAATTCAACCATACTCTCGAAGCCAGAAGTCGATTCTTCCTTCTTATCCCCTCTTCTCCTCTCTTCTCTTCTTCCCCCACTATACCTCCGCCGACGATTTGTTCACCGATCTCCGACTTGGTTGGTACGTATTTTTTTTTTCAATTCGAAAGCGCATGACTCGACGTCGCCGAGCTGAGTCCAAGCGAACAGATTCTAAATCCTTTTTGATGAAATTGTAGCTCAAGATGATTGCTATACACAGTGTATAAATACGGAACACGGCATACGATACGAACCGCCAACGGAACGAGACTCGTACTCTCGTTGTCATTGAATTTTCGCGTGGCCTCTAGTCACACGTATTCCCCACCGCTACAAAGCAGATTAAAATTCTGCTTTTATCAAAAACCTTCACATAATGACGGATGACGAGACAGTTGAGAAGGTAAGTGCCACTCGATTATGTCTCTTGAATTGATTTGAAATCAATCAACTAATATTGAAACTTATCTCTATTAAGTGACGTATGCTTCTATAGTAAAAATTAATGACAAAATGGCACTGGATTTTCTAATGTGATGTTATCTTAGGAAAAACATATGAAACAATTAAAGCGAAAGATGGAATGCTGGCGAGAGATAATTCTACCTTTGAACTCCATTCTCTTATGGGAACGCAGCTGGCATCCTGGGCTAATTGTTGGACTTGTAACAATGATATTCTGGTAATTGAAATCAACGTTATAAAAATCATTCATAAAAATAATAATTATCTTTAATTGTATGTGTATATGTATATGTATATGTATATGTACATGTATACATGCATAATATATATATACATATATATATATATATATATATATATATATATATATTATT